TAAAAGATTTATATTATGAAAATAATTAAAAAAATAAAAAGTAAAAAAAGAAAAAAGAAGAAGGGATTGTAATTCAAGTTGTAGAAAGAGTCATTAAAAAATTATTTTATTTTTTTTTGTAGAAAATGGAAAATTTAAGAACAAAAGTTCTTTTATATAAACGTATATATAAAAAAATTTTTTAAGGCATCATCACATGTAAGAGTTTTTCTCTCTTTTAAATAATTAATTAAAAAAAAAAAAAAAAACGTAAAAAGCAGACTACGAATAAAACCTTCCTTAAAAAAAACAAAAATTTTCCTTTTTGGTATCTTTTCTGTAATAATAATAATAATAATTTTAAAACGTAATAATCATCTAGAAATTTGTTTTTTTTTTATTTATAGAAATTAATAAATTTTTTTTTTGTATATGAGAAAACGTTTTAAAACGTAATCAATTATTATTATTACTTTGACCCATTCATTATCGATATTATTATCATTATTATTATTATTATTATTTTTTCGAATTTAAAAAAAAAAAAATTCTTTAGAAAGAAAAAACCATTCAATATTTTTTTTTTTTTTTTTTTTTTCAATGATTTGACGTTTTTATTCCGGGAATTTTTTTTTTTTGTTGATTTTTTTTTTCCTTTCCTTTTTCTTTCCTTTTTTTCTTTTCCTTTACTTACCAATGAATCGACAAAATAAGATTATGTTTGCTTCATTGATCATCTATTACAAAAAAAAAAAAAAATTTTCTTTTAATTTCGATTTATTTCGGTTGAAAAATCACTTTGTTACACTTTTAAGCATTTAATATAAAAAAAAAAAAAAATTTAAATAGGATTTTATTAACTCGATCCCCTTTTTTTCCCTTCTTCCCTTTCCCCTCTTTCCCCCTCTCTCTCTTCCCTACTTTCCCCACTTTTCCAGTTTAAAAACGATTTTACGTAAAATTAATTTTTTATCAAATCGCATAATGCGTGTGTGTGTATGCGTATACGACTCGTTAATTTTATTTACTATAAATATTTATTTAAATATATTTTTAAATAATAATAATAATAATAATAATAATAATAATAATAATAATAATAATAATAATAATAATATTAATAATATATTGAGTAAAAGTTTGACCTTTTTACGAAAAAGGTCAAGTTAAATTAATTACCCGTAATAAGTAGTTGTAAAAACTTAACCGTTATTATAAAATTTTCAAATGGGTGAAAATTTAAAAAAAAATTCATAAATTTTCTTTACTATCCCCTCCTCTTCCTCCCCCCACTTCTCCTCCTTTTTTTTTGGACGTTGTTTACATTCAATAATAATAATAATAAATGATTATGTTTTGACTCAAAATAATAAAAAAATTATTATTCATTCAATAAGAAAAAAAAAAAAACAACAAGTCGAATTTATAAGTTTTTTTTTTTTTTTTTTAAATTTGGCTCCAAAAAATTTCAAAAAAAATTTCAAAAGTCATTCTAACTATTTTTCATGTTACGTACGTGCTTTTGCATATTTTAAAAAAGAAAAACAATTTTTTTTTTCTTCTCACTCTCTCCCTTTCCCTTTCTCTCTCTCTCTCTTTCTCTCTATATTTTCAAAATAATAATAATAATAATAATAATAAATCAAGTTTTTCATCGATTTTTCTTCTTTATTGAAAAAAAGTTTATCCAAATCCTAACTCGCGATGATAATGATAATTATTATTAAAAAAATGATTTGAAGAATAATAGGTGAAAAAAAAATGCATAAATGAAAAAAGTTATTAAAGATTAATAATAATAATAATAATTATTATAATAATAATAATAATAATAAGCCAACGGCCATAGCGTGCTGGTCACACCGGTTCCCGTACGATCACCGAAGTTAAGCAGCATCGGGCGTGGTGCAAACTTGGATGGGTGACCGTTTGAGAACGCCACGTGCTGTTGGCTTAAAAGAGCAAAAAAAAAATGAGAACAAGACAAAGTAAGAACCAAAAAACAAATCTTGTTCTACGGTCGACCTGAGGCAGCTCGACGAGAATGTGAATTTCACTGCTTCTGACCTGGCCACTCCAAAGATGTTAGTCACCGGAGCCCAGTTCAGGAGACAAATCGTTCCCATCGAATAAGACGGACTCAGGAAGACCTTCAAGAATTGATGTGGTGCTATCTTATAATAAGTGGCACCACCGAAATTCGAGTATTTGTCCCTAAGGAATCGGGTAGAAACCTCGGATAAATACTTAAAACCCCCGACAAGTAGCCTTGTCGTGTTTAATGGTGGAAAATAATAATAATAAAGTTAGAAATGATGATTGAATCCATTAAAAATAATTAATTACCTTCCAGGTGTAATTAAGATAAAAATAATAATAATAATACTGATGAAAAGACAATGAAAAAAAAATTTATCAAGTTAAGAAGAAATTGATTCACCTGAGTTATTAAAAGAACAATTATTATTATTATTATTTTTTTTTGTTAATAATCTTTCATTTGTTCAATAATAAAAAATTAATAAAAAATAATAATGATAATGATAATAATAATAGAAAATTCTTTTATTCTATATCTTTCTTATACGATAAAAAAAGGAAAAAGGAAAAGGATAAAAAGAAAAAAGAAAAAAAGAAAAAAAGGAAAAAAAATTTTCCGTTTTTTTTTTTAATATACTTCGAAATAAAGGAGAAAATTATCATTGTCAAAATTATTATCATCATCATCATCATCATCATCATTATCATTATTATTATTATTATTATTATTATTATTATTATCATTATAATCAAAAGTTTCACATTTTTCGCGTTTATAATAGACTAAAAAAAAAAAAAAAAAACTAAATTAAAGACGTTAAAAGAAAAATTTTATCAATTACGTTAAATTTTTTTTTTTTTTTGGGGGGAGGGGGGGGGGGTAAAAAAAATAAGCTTTCCTTTTATTATTATTATTATCATCATTTTCCGTTAAAGATTTTCTTTTAGAAAAAAAAATATTTATCATCAATTTTCAAAAAAAAAAAAAAAGAAAATCTTTTTCGAGTTTTGCTTCCTCCCCCCTTCGTCTTTTTATAGATTTTTCAATTTTTGTGAAAAATGTTAAAAATTCAGTTTGATAACGATAATAATAATAATAATAATAATAATAATAATAATAATAATAATAATAATAATAATAATAATAATAATAAGAATAATAATAATAATAAATGAAGAAATTGTATGTATAATCGAAATAGCCAGGAAGTTGCGGGAAATGAAAACGGAAACGTTTCCGGTTATTGTTTGGATAACTGGAAGAAGCTGCGTGATGGCGAAAGGACGACAATTTCGAAAGTATTTTCAAGATTTAAACGAAGAAACCAAAGGAAATGGACAAAGGAAAATTCTTCGATGGCACAATTAAATTATTTTTGATCGAAATCTGGGAAAAAAACCGGAAATACCGGAAAACTCTGACGACCGCATTAAACCCGGCCGATTAAAAGTAATAATAATAACAAATGAAATAATGATAATAAAATGATTCTGATGAAATGATAATAATGATAATAATGATAATAATAATAATAATATTTATTTTTATATTTAAAATCCGTTTTCTAAGATTATTTTCAAAATGGCGTCTTAATTTTTGTGTTTTTTTTTATAACTAATTTTAATATCTGCCAATTTAACGTTGTGAATAAACTACGAAAATCATTGATAAAAAAATTTTTTTTAAAAACATTTCGTTTGTTTGTTTGTTTGATGGATTTTTTTTTTCATTTTATAAAATTAAATTTATTTTACGCGCACAACAACAAGAAAAAAAAAAGATGGATAAATGAAAAGTGAAAATGAAAAGTTTTCATTCATTCGGAAAAAAAAAAAAAAAAACTTTTTAGAGTGACGTTTTTTTTTTTCCTTCTTTTTTTTTTTTTGAAAAGAAGGAAAAAGGAAAAAGGAAAAAAAGTTTAATCTTAGTTTTTAAATTGTTCGCAACAAACAAACAAACAAATAACCTTTTCATGTTTTTTTTCTCTTTCTTAAATCATTAGTATCAGTAAAAAAAAAAAAAAAAAAACTTTTTAATGATGTAAAAATTTGTAACAAATTTTTTTAAAAAAAAAAAAAAAAAAGGTTTGAGGGTAAAAATTAAAATTAAAATTTTTAATTACATTTGGTTGTTGTTGTTGGGAAAACAAATTTTCGATTGTTTTTATTTACATCCTTTTTAAACCTTTAGAAAAAAATTTTTTTTAAAAATAATTACCGTTTTAATTATATTCAATTTACATGATTTTTTTTATTAATATAAAATTTATTATTATTATTATTATTATTACTACGTATTTAAGTTTCGCTCCTGGAAAAATTTATCAGATAAAAAAGAAAATTTTTATATTTTTTTTGTCGTAATAAGATTTAAAAGTTTTAATAAGGCGCTTTTAATAAGCCATTAACTTTATTTTATAAATTATAAAAAAAAAACAAGTTTTTACAAAATTTACTTAATTTTTAAATAAATAAATTTTTAAACTACAATTATTATCATTATCATTATTATTATTAACAAGAGAATAACACATGGAAAAGTTTTTAATAAGAAAAAAAAACCGAAGAGTTTTTACTTATTAAAAAGAAAAAAAACGAAACGGAAAAGGGATATAAAATGGGAAAAATTCAAAAGTTTTCCCATTGATATTTATTTACAACAATCGAAATACAAACAACAACAAACACAAAACGATTGAAAGAAAAAAAAGAAGACGTTTAAAAAACGATGCATGATTTAGACGTTTAGAAAAAAGAAAATAAACAAACAAACGAAGGAACGAGAAAAAAACTTTTTTATTTTCATGTACACAACAGGTAAAAAATAACGAGGAAGAAAAAGAGATAAAGAGAGATAGAGATAGAGAGAAAGAGAGAGAAAAACGTTTTTTTAAATGGCCTAAAATATCAGGAGGAATAAAAAATGACGTCACGTTTAAGGTTGTGACGTTAACTCATCATTGAAATTCAGGTTTAAGTACATTAAATTTATTAAATAAAATAAATTTATTTTATTTTTTCTTAAAAAGAAAAAAAATGTTAGGAGTTGAAAAGAGATAGAGATAGAGAGAGAGAGAGAGAGAGAGAGAAAATATTAACTGGAAAAAAGAAAATTTTTTCTTTTTTTAATTTACAAACTTTTGAGATGATTCGAACGAAAAAAAAAAAAATACGCGAGGAGGTAAAAAAAAAAGAAAATTTTTGAGTTAAACAACAAATCACGTGATCCGTGAAGGGAAAAAAAACATGTGAAAATTATCAAATAAATCATTTTTATTTTTCCCCCTTCCCCCCGGTTAATTTTCCTTTTTTTTCGAGAAGGAAAACCAAATTAAACTTTTAAAAAAAATTTTTTTTTTTTTTATATTAAATGTACTGAAAAAACAAAAAAAAAAAAAAACACATGCTATGACCCGACAACAACAACAACAACAACAATTTTTCGAGTGGCTACTTTAAAAAAAAAAGAGAAAGAGAGAGAGAGAGAGAGGTAAATAGGGGCTAATCCTAAAATCTCTAATCCCTTGGCAAAAAAATTATTTAAATAAAAATATTTTAAGGTAATTTTTACCTTTCTCTTCCTCTCTCCCCCTCCCCCCTCTCTCTTTTTTTCGTTACTTATTTTGATTAATTATAATATATTAAAACATTTTAAAGTAAATAAAGTAAATTATAACTCTCTCTCTGTCTCTCTCTGCCACGTATATATATTTTATATAACCGCGATAAAAATTTTAAAAAAGACACCTGGGGATGCAAATTAAAATATTTTATTTTATGTATATTTTATTTATTTATTAATAAAAAAAATCTTTACGCTCTTAAATTTTCCCTCCCTCTTCTTCCTTTTTTTTACAATCAAACCACAAAAAAAAATTTTTTTCTTTTCATCTATTATCATTATTATCATCAACTCGATTTTTTTTACCTAATTTTTTTCCGAAACAAAAGAAACAAAAAAAAATTTTTCAGGTGGTTTCACATTGAATAATTCCATGACGTCATCATATTTTTTCATTGTGACGCACTGATTTTTTTTTTTTAAGGTTAAAAAAAGGCTGTTGTTTTTCCTTTCCATTCATTTCATAAATTCATCACAAAAGACTTTCCTCCCTTTCCCCCCCCCAAAAAAAAAAAAGTCATTTATCAAGTCTCATTAGTCGAGTTTTATTATTATTATTATTATCATCATCATCATCATTATTATTATTATTATTATTATTATTATTATTATTATTATTATTATTATTATTATTATTATTATTATTATTATTATCATTATTATCATCATTAATAATGCCGTTTGCGTAATGCTCTGAAAATAATTTTAATTTTTTTTTAAAAATAAAATAAACGGTTAAATGAAAAAGAAATTTTATTTTACGTCTTACCTTTGAGACGGCCGCCATATTTGTTTTTTAACTCGGATTTTTCTTATTATTTTAGTTAGTTCCACGATGGTTTCTAAATTTTTAATTTCGCAACGAATAATTTTTCCCTGATGAATATTTTCCGACGTTTTAAATATTTCTTTTTTTTTTTTTTCGTTTGTTTGCGTACCTGTTTCGATCGTACTAAACCGCCATTTTGTTTTTTTTTTCTCTTTTAAATCGAATTCGTTTTTGAATAATTGTTACGGGAAAAAGATAAAAAAATTTTTTTTTTTTTAAATAATACATGTTTTAATACTCTATGGAATTTAATTTACGTTATATATATATATAAATTCGAACGGTAGAAAAAAATTTATTTTTCCGTTACGAAAAAAAAAAACCGTTAGGAAAAGAAAAAAAAAATGGCGAAATCTGTTGAATTTGAGATTTTATATAAGACAACCGGTCTTGAAAATTTTTTTTTTTTAATCCTTTGGGTGCCGTCTTGGGAAAGTTTATAGTGAGAAAAATATTGTTTTTCCAACCGACTGTGAAATCCTGGAACCGTTATTCGTTTTCTTTAAGTTGGCAGAAATGTTTAGAGTCCGCATTCTCTTGAGAATTCAAAAAAAAAAAAATTCACGAGATAAAATTATACTAATAAGTTTTTTTTTTTTTTTCTGAAGTAACGGTTAAAAATTTTTTTTTTTTTTTATTGAAAATTGTGTGACGTCATTGAAAATTTTCCTTTTTTCTTTTTTTTTTTTTTTTGGTATTTCAATAAAAAATTTCGCGTTTCGTAACTCATTATTTATTCGTATTCGATTTTATCTTTAAATATTGGATTTTTTTTTCTTCTTCTTCTTCTTTTGGTGAAAAAAAAGCAGAAGAAAAATTATCATCGATTGAGTTGGAAATAATAATAATAATAATAAAAGGAAAATTTTTTTAAACGCCTTAAGATAAAAAAAAAATATTGAAAGCTTGTCCGGATTTTATTTTTCCAGTAAAACTTTTTTTTTTAATAAATTTATTTTAATTAGAATATTTAAAAAAATTCATGCACGTGATCGTGCCTGGACTCCAGACCGTTACCAAAATAATAATAATAATAATATACAAAAATTAAAATTCCACATTTGTTTATAAGGTTATGTGTTAGTGTTTAACCTATTTTCTTTTTTCGTGTGTGTGTTTGTGTTTGTGTGTTACCCACGTAA